CTCCCAGCCCGCCACATCCACTACCACGAGTATGCCTACAATCGCAGGCCCACTGTTGCCGAGAAGTGGATCGTGCCCGCCAAGTTTGTCGAGGAGGACCAGTCGTCGGGCAAGGCGTCTCGCGCCGGGGGTGAGCTGATGCGCTGCTTCAAGGGCCGCGCAGAGCTCGAGAAGGCGCGATCGGTCACGTTTTGGTGGCACCGGTCAAACAAGAAGCACCTTTGGACGTATCCTCTCGAGGTTGTCGACAGGGGTGATGTGTCCTCTTTCTGGGCCGTCCTTGGGCGCGAGTAAAAAGAGGCTGTGCCGGTGGACGACGATGCCAATGACGACAACAGCTGCGTCATGGGCAATGCGACAAGCTTGGTTCAGTTCCTGGCATCGACAGATTGCGGTGCCGCCATCGACCAAGCGGTGCCATGGGCCGCAAGCACTTGCGGATGCACGGGGTCCGCAAGCGGGTTCATGACACGGTGGCTGTCTTGGGCATGCCCGCCAGCTACGAGTGGCTGAACGCGGTCATTTCCACGGCCATCGCGTCGAACAAGAACGACACACCGTTCAAGCGGCTGGCATTTATCGGCGACACGGTGCTCACCCTTATGGGTCAGTCGGATGCAGCTGTTCTCACTCGAGGACAGCGCCATGGATGTGGGTCCGATGATGAGCGCCATGCAGGACATGGAGTCACGGGAAGCGTGTCAACAGTATCTCAAGGCCACTGGCATGGATGATGTTGTGCTTTCGGACTCTTATGATGTACAAGCCGAGGCCATCTTGTGTGCCATCTACCTGCTGTATGGCCTCGACGACACCGAGCGCGTCTGGCGTATGTTCGTGTCGGCAGTGGCCTCGGTAGACGATGCGGCGCCGAGCGGCTCAAGCACTTCAGCGCTGAGAAGTGGCAAGCAGGAGAGGCAGCAGACCGTGTCGACTCGTTCGATGGAATCCGTGGCGGCGTGGCAGGGAGCCGAGCTCGGAGTTCCAGACTCTGATGTCAGCCGGCACCATCGGAGAGGTGATCAACTGCTGCACCCAGCCTTACCCCGGCTCGATCGACCGCACCCGTTCTTCTCAGCCCCAACTGCGACCCCCCTCCGACCCGATCTACAGCCGACCAAGTCGCACGGGGCTGTTGGGCTCGGTGCAGTGGCTACGCGCTTGCGAGTCAGCGCGGTGACCAAATCGAGGCGATCCGGGCCGAGCAGCTGCCGCCAAGGCGAGCCTCGACGAGGACGTAGCGATCGGCAGACGCGGATGAGATGGACGAGGCCACGGCGGGCGTGGAGTTGTGACAGAGCGTCGATGTGCCAGGGTGGTTGGTGCGCATGATCGGAGAATGAGCCCGTTGCTGAGTTTGACGGCGCTGTTGACGACGAGCGTGAGCGCCGCGGGCGCAGCTGATGAGGTTGTCGCGGGCGATGTGGCGGCTGATGACGACTTTGGTGAGTGAAGCCGATGGCGACGACGTCAGAGTTGGTCTTCTGCGAGGCACGGCGGACGGATGGACACGATTGTCGGCAAGGGGGAGAGCGACGATGCTGGCGTGATCGTGCGGTACCGACACTCCTGCTGCGATGCCGTCGCAGCTCGGTGCCTGCGCCTGGCTTTTTGATTGTTAGTATTGTTAGAGCCTTCATCCAACGGATAGCGGTAGAGAGTGGTGTGAAAGGGTGGTGCTGTCTGCGTCATGGAAGATGGGATCGGGCTGATGGCCATG